GAGTGCAAAAGAAATAATAATGAAGAGAGTGAATACACACCAATGACAAATCATTACAAACAACTAATTAATTGCCTTACTATAAAAATTCAAAAACAAACAAATGAGATAGAGGAAGACAAATACAAAGTGAACTTAGGTCCCTAAGTGAGTTATGGAAGTGTTGGGGAGATACAGATGAAATGAGTTCACCTATAATTCATTACATGAATTAATCAAGGGATTCATATCAAAATCATTAGTATTCAAGTTACATCAATATTGAAATCTAGAGAAAGGACCAGGGAAGCAATTATTGAAGGAATGGTTAACTTCAAAGAGTACTTAAAAGACTACTGGAAAGAACAGTGTGAAAAAGTGACACTATGGGAAGCTAAAAATAATATTACAAATAGATTGAAAAAAAAGGGAAAAATTAATTTAAAAAAGGTGAGGAAAATGAGAATATAATGATGGTATAAAGTTAGTAGAAACTAAGGAAGAAAAATATAGTAAAATAGAACAAATAGAAAAGAAAATGATATATAAATTTAGAATGTAGATTAACTTAGGATGTGAATATAATAATAATTATAGTTACATATATAATAATTACATCTGATAGGATTTTGGTTATCAGTTCCTGAGATTACACTTAGGCAATGATAAGTCAGACAGTAAAATGTTATTTTTAGTCAGTTTCAATAAATGTAAAATAAATTATCTATATTTTTAAAATTTACACCTAATTTATTAATAAAGGTTTATTGGAACAATACTCTGTTGGATTTAAAATAAAATATTAACATCAATCTTTAAATCAAAATCAATCAATTAAATGATGATTCTTTCATTCATTATTTGTTTTTGTCAAATAATAGATAATCTTATAAACAATAGGGAATTTTACATATTATTTTTCCTTTTTTATTTTATTACTATTTTTGTTTTCTTTTTTATTTATTTAAATCCTTTTTCAAATATCATTTATTATTATTATTTTTTTTATTTATCATCTCCTGTGAGTTGTGATGTCCTTTAGGTGTTATAAATAGTTGTTATTATTGATTTTTATCAATATTAATTTTTTATTGTATTGTATTCTGAAAATTAAACCTTCACTCCTTTGATGATGTGTTAATTAAAGTTGATGGTTAATGATCTTTAGTTTAATCTTTTAATTGCATGATTAATTATTATTTTATATTAAGTAGTTGTTATATAATTTATTTATATATAGTCAACATCAAAAACAGTACAAAATGCACATTCATAAACATATATTTAAAGAATCCACATACACTTTTCAATATTTAGTAATACTGTGGTGAAGTAATTTTGTAAACATGCAGATTATCATGGGGGATATAAATGGCGACACTAAGATGATTGTACACGGTAATAACTTGTGTTGTCATCTGAAAGGATGAAATATGAGGATGAAGGATGAAGTACAAAGGATGATGGATAAAATTTGAATGAAGGTGAAAAAGTATAAAAGAAGTGGTTATTGGAGACAGAAAACAGCAGCCTTAGTAGTATCTGGAACTAAATAAAAACATTCTACAACTATACATGTTCCTAAAATTGATTTTGGATTTTTGAGATATTTTGACTTTTTGAGATTTATGCAGAATCTATTCTATATATGGAAGTAAAAAAAGTACCCAGTTATATGTATATTTAATCAAAGAATAAATCTGGGTGATCAAAAAATTCCAGGTTTTAAGTAAAATAATTTCATCTTCTATGAGAAACTATTTCAACTTTTTTTCCTGAATTTGCAATTTCGGTGCCCCAAAATAATTTTGCGTGCAAGTATATCTACAACACTATATGAACACCATTCTATAGCATTATTCAAATGGCACTAACATACTAGAATGCAACATTTAAGTGCATTATTTGAACATTTCATACTTATACATCAGGAATTATATAGAGATATTCTAGTATACTATCCCTTAGATCATCTATTTTAGTAGACAAATTTGTATACTAAAATAATTGAAAGTAAATTGGGCTTAGAGAAAATTTTTTTTTATTAAAAACTTCATTTTAATGGTTAAACTAACTTTCAAGAGCATGAGTCTAGCTGCAGTATCACACATGACATGTGTCACAAAAAATAAATCAATACTAATTTAATAAGATTTAAATTTTATTATCTTATTAATAATGAAATTATAAATAAATTGTCTGATTAAATAGTTGTTTTTAAAAATGTACAATTTAAAATTTAAACTATTTAAAAAATTACTTTTTAATTAATAAAAGAAAATATTTTAAAAAATTATTCACCACTATAAGTTTTTGCAAAGCATCATTAAAAAGAACTTTAATTGTAACAATGTAATACAAAAAAATAAATTCATGTTTATTTATTATGGAATTGTAAAAAAAAATTCCTGATATTATTACAACACAGAAACACATTACACACTACATATCAAAAATGTATTCTATATGAATTTTTACAATCCATGTTTATTTTTTTTGTTTGTCAAATATGTATACCACCTACATGATTTGTGTTCTTCTTTCCACTCTACAAGCTGGTTCCCAGGAACCAATCATTAGTCTAAAAGCTCAAAATGTTTTGTTACTTTTGGTCATTTTGCATCTTTATCCAAACCATTTCTCAGTTGAATTTTGCTGATATTATTTGCAAAATTAATAGATTCCAGATAAGCTTGTGACAGAACTCATGCTACTTTTGTGTTGATTTTACTATTTGAATAATGTGATATGCAATATTGAGTAACCAAAGAAAAAATGGACGTCCAATTTCACTACACTACTTTTTGCATACTGTAATATGAATATAATTAATTTGTGATATCTACACTATTCATGCAGTAGTTGTAGTCATTAATTACTTTTGAAATTTTTAATTTTTTTTTAATTCAGGACCAAACACTACTCAAACCTTTGTTGCATTGGTGGTTGTTTCCCTTAGTTGTCATCTTTTCCATTCTATTTTCAATTCTTCACTAACAATTCATAAATTGGTGATAACATTGCAACTGGCCCTTTATCTTGCCAGAAGACAACCAATACATCATTTACCACAACTCAAGAATGAACATTTCAAACAAATTTAATACTTTATTCACTTTAATTCTTTTGAAAACCTATTGAAGTTTTTCATTAATGAGATGAAAAAACTAACATTAATTTGATTAAGTCCACTTACTTTTGTCATATCACTTGGAACAATGCATAATGTTGACAAAAAAGTAAAAGTATACCTGGCATCACTAAGGGTCAAAATTTTAAAACCTTCAGGGGTTGGTTTATTCTTGATTCAAACAGTGTAAACACTTCTTCCAGAAAATCTAATCAACATTTCATCCACATAAATGTTTTAGTTTTGTATGTAAAGTCATATCGAGACATCCTTAATGTACAAAAGCAATAGCTCCAATTTAACAAAGTAATTTTTAATTGATACAATAGGAGAGGAAGTGTGAGATAACTCTTTATCTATTTGAATCATTTTAAAGACATTTGTCTTGAAATAGAGTGAATAGAGAGCTTGCCAGTCTCATTCCAATACTGGTCAAGAAAAGGTAACTTAAAAGTCCTTGGCAAATAATCAAGGCAATCCAAATGAGAAGTTCTTTCCAAGTTAAGTTCAGCCAATATCTACTAGTGGCACCAGTATCTTTCTATAGTGCATAAAGATTTGTATTTTTGACAATAATGTTTAACATGTTGATTGTAAAAAAAGAAAAAAGATCAATTGGCTTAGAGACACTAATGTCAAGATATGTTGGCAGTCAAATGGGTGCCTGATGAGGTTGTCATAGAATAAACAAACAGTTCAAAATCAGATAGAGGTGGTGGTAATTCTCACTTTATGGCTCTTGCTAATTCATACTCTGAATTTTGATTGTTTAAGAGGCACTGGTAAGATGTCAAAAGTGATATGTATTCTTCATTATTGGAACCAGTCTCCAAAATTTTGTGGGGCAAAGAACTTGTTGAACCCAAAGCCAATACATTTGACATAAAGAACATATGGTTTTATTATTATTTTTAATTTATTATTTTATTCATTTTTTTAATTCGAGATTATCAAGTTACACAATGTGTAATAAATATGATCTAATAATCTACACGATTATTATTAACAAAGATCTAAATAAACATGAGGTGGAATTATAGTAATTGTTAATACAATTTGGCTTAGAAAAAGGGGGAGGTAACTTAAGAAATTTATGCAAAAATGGTATTAAAAAATTATAGCATTTAAATTTGAATGCTGGATGATCCGAGGATATGTATGAAATGTTCAAATGATGCACTTGAATGCCTCTATATAATTCCCAATGTTTGTTCTATTCTTAGTTATACGATATGTGAATAATGCTGAAGATATTAATTTATCCTATCCATGTGTTATTTCTTGTACACACTTTGCTAAGGTTCTGAAAAGTGTTAGTTTAAATCTTCCTGTTAACCTACTACTCTAAAGACAATAAGCAGATGTAAGGCTGTGAAGAGATCCCATTATTTCTATTAGGTTCATTACTATCTGACTAACAAATGTTGCTCCTTTATCAGATAGTATTTTCCTTAGATAGTCATGTCTACAAATAATTTTACTATACAAGATCCTAGTGATAGTTCCTGCATCTGTTTCTCAATAGCTTTAGTTTCTGATCACTTTGTAAAATAATAATGACCGCCAATTTATATCTTTTGCCCATTGTTGTTAGTCATAAGGGACCTACAATATCTATCCCTAATTGATCAAAAGCTTAATGGGTAAATCTAAACATACTGAAGTGTTATGACCTATTGGAACAAATTGTCTAAATTGTGGAGCTCGAGAAACTCCTGCTTGGGGAAAGATCTTCAAGACGAAACTTTACTTGGTAATGCTTGTGGTTAATAGTAAGTTATATTTTTTTTTTACATTTATTTTTTTTAAAAAATATGATTTTCAATTTTATTTTGAGTTTATGCTCATCTTTCTTTTATGTTCTACGTATATTCTTTCCTCACATATTCCTTCATGTGCATATTCGTTAATTTATAATAATAATAATTACATCTTTTCACATTATTATTATAATAGTTTAAAAGTAAAAAATTTGTCAAAGACTAGCTGAAGTTGAACCTGATGATGAATCAAGATTTAGTCAACTGAAAGACCCAGAAATGGTAAACCAAAATGTTCAAATTGAAATACCATCTATACGCGTTGTTGGAGAGATCTGGAAAGTTAACGTTTGGTTAGTTCACAAGTGATGAATGTGAGATTTTTACCTTAAATTAAAAGTGGTGGATTGTGTGTGAAAATAAAATGAAGAGAAAGAAGAAGGATGAGTCAGTCTCGAAGAAACGAATGAAGATATAAATGAAGATAATGATAAATATTCGTTGAAAGAAATAGATCAATGTTTGTTATTATTATTTCTATAATATTATTATTGCATTTTTATTTTATTGAATTTAAATTTATTACTATTAAGAATATTATGAATCTTGATTTATTGTTATGATTATTGTGTTATCTCCTTCGTTTTCATTTTTTCCAATTTCATTAAAGGATTTTTTTTTCAATAAAAGTATTCTGTTTATCTATAGCTGCATTGAAGAAAAATTTAATTAAAAAAAATTACAAGAAATTATGCCAGTATGCACTTTTAGAAAAGAAAAAAAAAGAAAAATTTTTGTTATTTATAAATTGCGTTAAGTTATCTAGCAACTTTGGGGAGTGAAAATTCAAACATTTTTTTATGAAAGAACTTGCTAAACTGATAAAGTTATTTATTCATAAATTTAAATCAAAAAAGATTCAAAAATAAATGTATTCCTAATTATTTAAGATTTACTAACAATTTTAAATACCTCATAATTAACCATAGAAAAGAGATATGATGTTCTTATAGGTTTTTTGTAATAAGTACCTTTAATATCACAGTAATTACTTTTACCCAAAGTGAAATCTTTATATCTATTACTATGTAAGTAAAAATCTCCGAAACGTGGACCAACGAAAATTTGATCTCTTAAGTGTACATTCTTAATTGCATATTGGAAATTTTTTACTCTGCTGAGAATAGAATTTCGAATATTACCAATCCTTAATGAGAAAATAAAATTATCTTCTGTTTTCTTCCAACCACTGTAAAATGGACCATTGTCAAAATCATCCCATGCTAAAGGATTATAACCTCCAAGTATCTCATCTGTTCCTTTAACTTTTACTACTACAACTATTTTTTTATGACCATGGCAAATTTCCCAAAACCTTTCTGGAGCAAACCCATTTCTTTTTCCACTTAAAATTAATTCAAATTTATATGGAATATTTGTTATTGAATAAGTAGTTTTTTTTACGATTAATCCAACTAGAATTTCTACTACATGTTCTTCAGAAATGATTTTCGAAAATGATCTTGCTGGTAAAATAATTGATTTTATTTGTTGTTTAGGGGATGATAAATGAAGATTGATATCTTTCCAAAGTTGTTTATCAAGAATATTTTTGTACGGCCTAATTGAATCTCTGACTTCATCAGCCGTAAGATGAAAATAACGAATATATGGTAGAGATTTTCGGAATGTAGTTTTTAATGTAATAATATTTTCCTTGGACCATACTCCAAGGTTTTTAGGAAGAGTAGGATTTTGAGAAATTCTCCATTTGATGTCAAAATACCAAATTTAGACTTCTTCCATTTGCAATTCATCTCACTTTAGAAGGGATTCTAATGCAGATTCAGAAAGAGAATTAAGATCCAAACTTTTAAAAATAATATTTGGATGAATTGCAATAATATCATTATAAAAATTTTCTAAATTTTAAAGTTTTTTTCGTTAAAAATTGTACGATAAACAAGAGAAAAGTATGTTTTTGACCAAGAATCTTTACTATCAATGAGTAGGGTTTCTAATTTGGCGGTTAATTCATCAAGTTAAAATTCATTAGTAGCTAACAATAAATCAAAAATGAATCTGGTTTCTACTTTCTCCAAACTAACAATTCCTCCATGAATATATCTAAATAAAGAGAATAATTATTAAAAAAATAAAATTATAAATAATAAAATCAAGTAGTGCTTTTCTTGTTGCTTACTTGAGAATAACATCGAAAATTTGGGCAGATACACTTGACTTAATTATGGTCTTAATATTATTTTCATTTGGCTGAATATTTTCTAATTCTTTACGGAAATAAGTCGATCTATATTTCAATATATTAGAATGTGCCATAAAGATTTATCCTTATTTTCAACTACAATGATTAAATTGTAATCATCTTTATTGTTTAGTAGTTCAATAAAGTTTTGAGATAGCTTGTCAAAAAGATTTAAAGACATTTTTTCTTTTAATAAATTATCGAGAGTCGGAAGAAGAAGGGTGAATTCGGGAATATTTGTGTGATTAACTGTATAATTAACAGTTAATTTAATTTTTTTTGAAAATTTATCAAGTGATTTTATTACGTTATTATTATCGAAGTTGGAGAATGTTCATTGGACATTTTTGTGCTATCGATAAAAAAATTCATAGCTACGGTCGATCTTGAAATCTACCTAGTTACAAGACTTCCTTCTAGACTAAAACTAAAATTTTTAAAAAATTATTATTCAAGTTTTCAAACAGATTAAAGCGCTTCAAAATTTTTGCAATGATATACAGTATTTCAAAATATTGGTTAAATCTAACGATTTACTACTTTTTTCGACTTTGGAATTCCAGTTTTATTTATAAGACGAATTTTTGAAAATTTTCGAAAATATACACTTTATAAATAGAATTGCTGAAGCTCACCAGCGGTGCGGTGATTGTCACTGGGCATGGGCAAAATTAAATTTACGGGCAAAGTTAGGGTTGATCAGGGAATTATGTAATTTTGCCGGCGGTGACTGTAGCAATGCCGTTATAATATTTGAAACAATCATCGAGTCTTCTATTACTAATAATTGCAATAATAATAATTGTCAAGAAAATCAATATTGGTGATATTTCTGTTAAAATTATGAGCTCAAGAAACTTCTGCTTGGAGAAAAGATTTTCAAGGCGAAGCTTTTCTTTGTAATTCTTGTAATTTATTGGAAGTTATATTTAATAGTGTTTGTTTATTTTTTTTAAGATTGATCAGTTTGATTTTTAATTTATGCATAACTTTCTTTTACGTCTAATATACTACACTTAAATTTTCTCCTTGCATATTCTTTCACACATAATCATTAATTTATCATAATAATAATTTACATTTTATCACATTATTATTATAAGAGTATTATAAATTTTATTTAAAATTATGCCTTGGCGGCATGTAGTTTTATCAAAAATTAGAACAAGGATCGGCTAAACTATTTTACGGCCTGTCCAACTGCTTTGAGCGTTGAATCGTTCTTAGTAGGAGGCAACCCGCTACTGTCTATGTCTATTATTTTACATTAACATTAAGTAGTTTAAATCAATTGTTATGTAAATTTATTCACATATTTTAATAGTCGACATCAACAGCGCACGAATCACGATACAATAAACACGAATTTTTTATTCATACATTTAAGAATACGCACGCACTTTTAATATTTAATGACTACATTTGCAAATGCAAATATATTTAAATTTTTTTTTCATCTCATCATAAACAATCAATAAAAAAAATTTGTCTTCAAAAATTTTTTTTAATTAGTTCATTAATTGCCCCCGAAGTGTGAAATAGTTGATGTTGGGTTTGTGAGTCAGAGGAGAGTCAAGATGTCATTTTTGTCATGCCAACAACAAATAACAACCATAAAATTCGATTAGATATCATACTTTATATATTTTATGTTGTCTGCACTTTAGTTTTTTATATAATTCTCATAGCGAATCTTATATTTCAGGTTTATTTATTTATATTATCATTTTTATATATCCAGTACTTACTTTAGTATTCGTTTAACGTTAATTTAACTTATTTATTTTTAACATTATTGTTATCTGATTTTATCTTTCATAATTTTTAATTATTAAATTTTAATATTTTTTTCGATTTTATAACTTAACTAAAATACTTTAAAAAAATATGTACTGTTTATTATCGGATAACGAAGAATTCAAGAATAATTTATAATAATAATAATAAATTTTCAATATTTTTATTGGTTAATACTTTTATTCTTTATTAAACTCAGAAGAATGCTTTATAATCGACCAATGTATCACATTATCAATTATTAATACTTGTATCGATTAAAAAAAATAAATTATGTTTTATACTAAAATCGTTAAGTTGTAAAAAAATTTAGATATAAATATACTTTATTTTTTTAATTTAATTAAAATTCTAAAACAATTAAATCAAATCATCTGTAATTTTTTATACTTGAAACAAAACGCTTTTCTTTGAATACTAGAAAATAGAATAATAAATAAATTATCAAAAACGTAAAGTATTCAAGTATGCAAAGTAAGTACTTAAGTAACTTTTTTCAAACTTTTTTTTGATTACCTAAAATATCATTAAAGAATCTTTATTTGATTTAACTTATATCTTCGGTTCAATTATTATACATTATTTGTAATTATTATTATTAAATTTTATATTCTAGACGTGAACATCGCAAAACTACTAATTATTGATTTATTTTACGTCACACGTATTCTTCTATAAAAATACTTTATTAATTAAAATACATTCTTTGTTATCATGTTTTCCACTGTTTCTGCTGAAAGAGAAGATTTCATTATAGTTTCAGCACAACTGTCGCAGCCACCACAAAACCGCAACAACAACGAAAATACTAATCATTATAAAATAATGATCTTCACCAAATTCATTCTCTTACTCCTCCTTGAATTTCTTCATCTTCACTTACTCCTTCTTCCCCACCTTCTCTTAACTCGCTTAATCAATCTACTCTTAATTCATTTAATTCTTCAGTTCTTAATTACTCCGTCTCTTACTCCTATTCCACCAATAATATAGACATATTGAATGTGAAAGAAGTAATATTAACTCAATCAATACCAGAAATTTATCCCCGAATTGGTGAATCAAATATTATGAATAATGAGTTAACCAATAAATAACAATTGCAACAACAGCAATAATCATAATAGCAGTTAAAATAACAATATTTTATCTCTTCACAACATTATAATATCATTGAAATTTATCCTTCTCAATTAACAAAACTTTAGTTTGATCAATCACCTAATAAACATTTATCACCTATTAATAATAAAAAAATACAGCAACTACAATACTAACAATAAAACAAGAGAAGTGAAAAAAAATAATATGATCGCGAAGAAAATGGTCTTTTGGAAAATGTTGTGTTTCCTAGTTTTGATAAAAAAAAATGTCACCATCACAATATTCAGAGGTAATTCAAATTCAATGAGATTGCAGCTTTGGATGATCTCAATTCTTTCCTTCTCCTCCTATTCCTACTCAAATTTCTCCAAAAACAATCAATTGAATCAATTACACATGAGAAGGGATAATTACTATCACCGCCAACGACAACACAACAACAACAATGTAGTATTCAATTAAATGCTATATCATAACCCTTACATTCAAAATTGAATTTGATTCTTACTAACACTACATCGCCATGTACTAATCTCGTGTATTCATTGCCAAAACAGTGACAACAATATTATTGATTCAATTGATTCAATTGTAACAAATAATGATACAAATAATCCAAGAAGAAAAAAAAACAACCATTGGATCTCGCATTATTATATTAGTCCAAAGTAAAGAACTATCAAAGACCAACCGGATGGTGAATAAGATGGTCAACCCAATGTTCAAATTGTAATAATACAGATACTCCTTGTTGGAGAGGTTCGAAAGGCGGTAAGTTATGTAATAAATGCTGATTATATCTAAAGCAACATGGCCATCAACGTCCGGTTAGTTCACAAAAGAAGAATGTTAGATTTTCACCGTATATTAATGTGTGTGGTGATTTTTGTGAAAATAAAATGAAGAGAATGAAGTGATGAGTTAGTCACGAGGGAATGAATGAAATGATAAATGATGATTATGAATAGTGATTGAAAGAATTAGATCCATGTTTATGTTTATTATTTTAAATATTTGTATATAACTATTATTATTATTATTATTTTAATGTATTTTCGTCTTTATTGAAATTTTGTGAAAAAAAAACTTATATTAACATGCATGATTATTAATCATTCCTTTTTCTTTTTTTTCTTATTTCAAAAATAGCCATTGAAAATGCCTGTCCCGTCTTGAAGAAAAATCAAATTAATAATTATTAGAGTAGTGACGAAGAAAAAAATAATTTTCATAAATTATTTACAAATTAATGTCAAACTATCTAGAGAGTTATAGAGTAAAAATGCATGCATTTTTACATGAAATATCTTGCTAAACAATTAAATTGTTTATTTATAAATCAAAAAAAAAACAAATACGAAAATAAATGATTTAATATATTTAAGATTTTCTAACAATTTTAAATACTTCATAATTAACAATAGAAAAGTAGCATGATAGTGATGTTCTTATAGGCTTTTCATAGGAAGAACTATCAAAATAATAGCAATTTCTAGCATCTAAAGTGAAATCAGAATAATCACTACATAAGAAAAAATCTCCAAAATGTGGACCAATCCTATTTTGAGATCCTTTTGATGCATTCCTAATTGCATATTGGAAATTTTTTACTCTGCTGAGAATAGATTTTTGAATATTACCATTTTTTAATGAGAAAATAAAACTATCTTTTGATTCCATCCATTGACTAAGTTCACAAGAATTATCCCATGCTAAAGGATTATAACCTCCAAGTATTTCATCAGTCCATTTAACTTTTGCTACCACAATTGTTTCAGCATGACCATGGCAAATATTCCAAAACGTTTGTGGAGCAAACCCATTTAATGTTCCACTTAAAATTAATTGAAAGTTATATGGAATATTTGTTGTTGAATAAGTAGTTCTTTTACGATCAATCCAACTTGATATTTTTGCCGCATGTTCTTTAGAAATGATTGTTGAAGAAAGTTCTTTAGTTTCTTCTGTACGAGGTGATAAATCTATAGTCAAAGTAGATCTTGCTGGTAAAATAATTGACTTTACTGGTCGATCAGGAGCTACCAGATGCTGGTTGATATCCAACCAAAGTTGTTTATCAAGAAGTTTTTTATAAGGCCGAATTTTATCGAAAATTTCAGTATTTGAAATATGAAAATAGCGAATAAGTGGTAGACATTGTTGTAAAGTGGTATTTTTTAACGTAAAAAAATTTTCCTTGGACCAGTCTTCAAGGTTTGTAGGGAGAGTAGGATTTTGAGAAATTCCCCATTTGATAACATAATCCCAAATTTTAACTTCTTCCATTTGCAAATCATCTCGCTTAAGAAGAGAAACCAACGCATATACAGGAAGAGATGCGAAATCTGAACTATCAAAAATAATACTTGGATGTTTTGCAATAATATCATTAAAATAATTTTCTAAATTTTTAAAGTTGGATTCGTTAAAAATAATACGATAAATAAAAGAAAAATAAGTTTTTAGCCAAGAAGCTTTAGTATCAATGAGATGAGTTTCTAATTTGGTGGCTAATTCATTAAGTCCAAATTCATTAGCAGTTAACATTAAATCAAAAATGAATCTGGTTTCTACGTTCTCCAAATTAATAATCCCTCCATAAATATATCTAAATAAAACGAATAATAAATAAATAATTATTTATAAAAATAAGAAAATAAGTAATAGTATTTTTATTATTGATAAAAACTTACTTGAGAATAGCATCAAAAATTTGAGCAGATAAACTTGACTTAATAATGGTCTTAATATTATTTTCATTTGGCTGAATATTTTCTAACTCTTTACGGAAATATAGGGATCGATATTTTAATATGTTTGAATGTGCCGTAAATGATTTTTCCTTGTTTCCAATTTCAATGATTACATTATAATCATCTTTATCGTTTAGTAATTCAATAAAATTTTGAGATAACTTGTCAAAAAATTTGAAAGACATTTTTCTTTTTCAGAGTCGGAAAATAAGAAAGGCGTTGACTAAATGCGAAACAATTAAATATTTGTGCGATTGTCTGTACGACAAATACACATTTTCATTGAAACTAAAAAAAGAAGTGCAAGCTCATTTTACCGATGTTTAATGAATTTACGACCAATGATCATATAATTTATGAATCTACATTTTATGATGGATTAGGTTATAAGACTTAGAACATTTCTTACTAAAAATAAAAAAGCACACTTTTTAGTCAAATTTAAAAATTTTCAAAATTCATCATTCGAGTTTTCAAACGGATTTAAAGCCTTTCGAAATTTTGCAATGATATGATCGTTAATCTTTTAATGTGCAGTTACTATGATAAATTATTACCAAAGCAACCATCGGATCCCCTATTACTAATAATATCATTAATAATAATGGTAAGGAAAATCAATATTGTTCAAAAATTGTGATATTCATTTTCAAATTATGAAGCTCGAGAAACTACTGCTTGGAGAAATCTTCAAGGTGAAGGTTTATTTTGTAATGTTTTTAGTTTATAGTAACTTTATATTTAATAATTTTTTTATCATTATTTTTTTAATTTCGATCTGTTTTTTTTTTTACTTTTTTTTTAATCTATGCATACCTTCACCTTGCATATTCATTCACACATAATCATTAATCTTCATTTTTTCACATTATTATTATAATAGTTTAAAAGTAAAAATTGTCAAAGACCAACAGAAGTAGGACCTGATGATAAAATAATCTTAATAAAAACCGAAAGACTCGGAAATGGTCAACCAAAATGTTCAAATTGTAATACCATCAATACACTTTGTTGGAGAGGAAAAAGGTGGCAAATTATGTAATAAATGCAGCTATATCTTAAACAACATGGTCATCAGCGTCTAGTTAGTTCACAAGAGAAAATGTGAGATTTTCACCCTATATTAGGAGTCAATGTGTGTCTGCATAAAGTGAAGTGAATGAAGAGGATGATTCAGTCTCAAAGGAAGAATTAATAATTGGAGATGATGAAAAATATAGATCAAAAGAAATAGATCACTGTTTTATTATTACTATTATTACAGTCAGGCTTGGACATGATCACCCTGTGTATAATCACCAACTATCTATAACACACCTCTTTATTCAGTCCCAAAAGTTTTTTATTTGATATGATATACTATAATTACCTAGGTTTATAATCACCACCATAATTTGCTTCCGCGTGTGGAGGTTATATCCAGATCTGACTGTACTACTACTACTAACGTATTTTATTTTTATTGAAATTGGCAAAAAAAATCTATCTGCATTGGCGTGGGGCATTTCGTAATCAATAATAATTCAGAGGCTAAGATTAATTTAAGGTTAATCTGTCACCTGATATTACGCATGTCGCCATATTGATCACCTCTTATCTGTTAGTCGAAACAGGCGCGAAAAAAACAAGTCCTTTTGTTTTATTTTATACTGAGGGTGCACGAATTCCACATGGGATGTGCACGGGATTTTGAAGTGTTGCGGATGTCACGGGAGATGACAGTAAGATGACAGTGTTACCAGGATGAGTATGATGACAGATTATTCATCTTTGTCAAAGTATTTCAGCTTTGTACATTATCCTTCATCCTTGTGTGTCATCTTTAAAAATAGAAAAGATGTGTTTAGACGTGACAACAAAGGGATGAAGGGAAACAAGTTTGAAAATGCATAAAATAACTGGTAATTTAGGATGTGAAAAAGGATCGACTTATTTTTCGATTTTTATAATTTTGATATCTTTTAGCACATTTCAAATAACTACAAAAATCTTTCACCTAATTTGTAATAATATAATAATAATCTTTTGGTATATATTTCCATAATAAATCTTAATAATAAAGATAGGAACGATTTAGCAGCAGGGATAAGACATGCCAAAGCAATGATATATTTTTGTTGTTACACCTTTGCAATAAGTTTAATAATTTCGGCATACTCTGTAATAATTTGATACATCTTTAAAATATTTTATTTCGGACAATGGTAATATTGGTGAGAAACGGTTAACAGCCCGTAATACCTCTATTATTAATTTTGTAATTTCTTGAATAAAGTTACTGAATAAAGTCTGAAGCTAAGATTCGAAAGTTTGCATAGTAAGCTGTAGAAAGATACCTTTACTCCACTTACTCATGTACCTTCAGATCGCACCTGTGTGTACTGTGTTAGAGTTTATTTTATATATCTGTTTGTTGCAAGTAGGCAAGTGACTGCTTGATCCTACTGGCTAATAGTGGGCATTACAAAATATTGCGTACAAGAGTACGTTGAGTTAGTACGAAAAGGGGTGTAACAAGAGTTCGATTTAGTGGGACTGATTGACATAACTTTACTCTTAGTTCTGGCAGACCGCCACAATATCTTTATGATATAAAGAATAATGCGTGGGTTACACATTTTGACCCTCCTTCCTCTCGTAACCTGTTGCTGATCGGGCTTGTAACGGGAATAGGTGCGCAGTAATAGTTTGATATGCATTGCAATTTTTGTTTTTTATAAAAGAAGAAATAAGATTATTCAATTATCTGGCACTGGTGGCAGTGGTTAAATCTTAGAGTTTTTGAAATCAGAAAATTCGCATATTTGCAAATTATAAATTGTTGTTAGAAAAATTCGTACGAATTGCATCTTTTAAATCACAATTTTCATATTACAATGATTCTATTATCAAAAGCCCAATTTTTAATTTTTGTTTATCTCAAAAATATTGATACAATTACGCATTTATCAGAATATATATTTTAAGGATATAAATATAATGTGACTTGAACATATGTACTGTACACTGCTATTTTGATAAAACAGGAAGTTCTCATAAATAAACGACAAAATCGAGAAGGAAAAAAATTCAATACATTTTTTTTAATTAATTTATAAATTATTATCGAATTATCTAGTGAGAAATAATATTAAACAAAAAAAAATTGTCATTAGTAGCGGTGACCTTGTAAAGTGAGTGAAAATGCAAATATTTTTCAAAATGAATATTTTCTAATTATTTAAGATTTTCTAACAAGCATAATTAACGATAGAAAAGCGATCTGATTTAGTTATTATAGGTTTTTCATAATAAGCACCATTAATATCGAAGCAATTTAAGTAAAATCAGATTATTCACTATGTAAGAAGAAATCTCAGAAACGTTAACTAACCTTATTTTGATGACATTTATCAAATTAAATTTTACTCTTCAAAGAATAGAATTTTTGAATATTACCATTTTTTGATGAGAAAATAAATCTATCATTTGTTTCCATCCAGACACGTAATAACCAATATAAGAATTATTCCATTCTAAAGGATTATAACCTCCAAGTATCTCATCAGTCCCTTTAACTTTCGTTACTACACTGTTTTGTCATGACCATGGGAAATATTCCAGAATGTTTGTGGAGCAAGCCTATCTATAATTCTACAAAAAATTAATTCAAATTTATATGGAATATTTGGTATGGAATCCAACTAGAAATTTAATGATTGAAAATGGTTCTTTAGGTTCTCCTGAATGAGGAGGTAATTCTGTAACCAAAGTGAATTTTGCTTGCAAGATAATTGATTTAATTGGTCGGTCAGGGACTACCAGATGCTGGTTGATATTTAAACAAGGTCATTTATCGAGAAGTTCTTTATAAGACCTAATTTTATCGAAAATTTCTGTGTTTGAAATATTAAAATAGCAAATAAGTGGTAGACATTGTAGCGAAGTGGTTATTAATATAGAAATTTTTCTTGGAACATGGTTTTTGGGAGAGTAAGATTTTGAGCAATTCCCATTTAATGACATAATCCCAAATTTTAACTTCTTCCATTTGCAAATATTGCTTAAGAAGAGACACCATTGCAGATTCATGAATGATGCAAAATATGAACTATCAAAAAATAATATTTAGATGCTTTGCAATAATATCTTTACAATAATTTTCTAAATTTTTAAAGTTACTTTTATTAAAAATAGTACAATAAATAAAAAAAAAAAGTAGGCTTTAACCAAGAAGCTTTAGTATCAATGAGAAAGTCTTCCAATTTGTTGGTAAATTCATCAAGTTCAAATTGTAGCTAACATTAAATTAAAAGTGAATTCGGTTTCTAGGTTCTCCAAATTAACAATTCCTCCATAAATATATCTAAATAATAAATAAAAAAATATTTATAAAAATAATAAAAATATGTAATAGTACTTTTATTTTGATAGAAACATGCTTGGGAATAACAAACATCATCAGAAAAATTTTTTAGGCGTAAATTTTCGTAATCCTACGACACCTACGTAATATTACGTTATATATTTTAGCACTAATGAAATGATTACGTATATGAATTGCGAAAAATCTCAATTTATTTATATGCGTATCTAATTAGCATTTTAAAAATACTTGACTAAAAAAATAAGCATCGCACCATAAATCTTAGAATTAATAAAATAATAATTACTTATTTCCTTTTCGGAAAAAGAATGCCTTTTTCCTATTTAGGATAAATAATAGTTAAAACAAATTATTACTCACAAAAATTAAATGGAATAAATAAATTATGTTTTCCGTGAAAATTTACAATTGTATCTTTTCATTTTGATTTGTTATCATTAATATAGTTTAAGCTATAAATCCAAATTTTTTATTATAATATTAATATCTATTACTATTAATATCTGGATACCTAAAATTAATATAAAATATAGACTTGTTCGTATTATCGATGATACTGTATTCCATGATAACTTAATTGGAATAGGTGTATGTTATATTCTCCACTCTTGTAATTATTCTTCCGTTGCTATATTTAATTAACAATATTTTAATATTTAAGCTATATAAAATAATAAATCATATAAAATTATATCAGATTTTTTGGTAATATAATATTTTTAATATTTCAATATTTTCAATTAATAAATAATTCAATGAAACACAATACGAAACTCAATATGCAAAAGTTATAATACTATAAGTAAACAAATTTCTTTTTTTTTCAAATATTATTTGAAATATTATTTGGAATTTTTTCTTCTATATCAAATTAAACTCCATATTCTTCAATAACTTTAAAATGCTCATCACTTATTGTGCTTGTTTTGTACGTTTTACAATAATCTTTTTATTTCTTTCTAATCCTTTTCAACACCACCTTTCAAAAAATTTTCTTAAACTACTGACACTAAATATCCCCATTCTAATTTCAATAGTTTCAAGTGATTCTGGTATATTTTTGGCCATTTGACATAATAATTTATTAGCATCAAATCTTTTTCTACAACAAAATGAAAGCCTCCTTAATTCATTAAAATTATTATTAAATATTGCAATTACTTGTTCAGGACTTAAATTTATTAAAGTTAAGTCGGTAATCTTTTTACAATAATTTAAAATAGCTGAAAAGGGACATAAATCTAGACAAATATTTTTTAAATTTGTATTGGCCTTTTCGAGAATTTTTATAATAAATTCTTGAGGATACTCATTTTAATTACTCGAATGAAAATAATGAAAACTACTTAATTGAGTAAATGATAAAGCCAAGGATAAACCATTTGAGTTACATAATTCAAAACAATTTTTCATATAAAGTTCTCGAAGTGAAGTAAATTTTCCAATTGGTGGTAAATTCTCCGCAAAACGATTATAACATAAATTTTTTAAACAAAGGCTCTTTAATGTTTCTTTTTGACTGACGATAGCCAAAAATAATAGATCATGACCAAAATAACCGCTATTGACAATTGATACATTTTCTAACCGCTTTTGAACACTTATAAGATTTGCTAGTAATTTCACTTGATAATTTGAATTCAATTTCCAACTCATATTTAAAATATTATCACAAATTAATTTTAATGGTTCACATAATTGACAAATCAATCCATCATAATAATCTTCTGTTATAAAACTTTCTAATTTCTTAAATACTTCCGGGATACCAGGTAACTTGAGAATTGAACCAAACAAATCACTATACAAATCCAAATTTCTAGAAAAATTTTCGGAGACTTTCACCAATTTAAAATAATCCAGAAATGAGCAAAAATTGATTATTAATTTACATATCTCACGAAATAATATTCTCGATTCTTTATTATTATTATTTTTTTTATTATCTTGATTTGGAAAAATAATTGGTCGTGAATATATGGAAATAAAATAAACTAAATTATCGATTCTAAGTTTGCGAGCGAATGATGGATAATCAAAAGTGGCTTGAGGTGGTGATGATGATAAATCGAATCTATTTTGAGTAAGTAAAGTTCTAGCTTGCATATCCATACATTATATATAAGTTCGAATGCATAATGCTTTCTTCCTCAGACCATAACATTCTTGACTCAAAGTTGATTCCCAAAGTATAGGTATAGCAACTTTACACCAGTTTCGATTAACTAATGATGATGAATATAAATCTTGAGTTGAACGAAATGGTTTAAGATTATTTAAAATTATAATTAACGTTTCTTTGGAAATTTTGGTTTCCATTTTTTTGTCTAAGAAATAGAAATTTCAAAAAAAAATAAAAATTATATAATATTTATAGAATGCCTATTTAAAATGATTTAGTCATAATGTCAAATGACAAATGACAAATGACAAATGACCGTCTTTTTTCTTGGAAAATCATTAAATAACTAATGTTAGAAATAAGAATATTGTTATAAAACATCCCGTCATTTTAAAAAAATGTACAACGATTTACATATCTCTCATATTTCACGAAATAATATTTTCTATTTGATGTTATTGTAATTATCATCAATCGAAAACATTAAAAACCACAAATTCAGATACAACCAATCAAAAACATTAAAACATACAAACTCAAAATTTAAATTATAGAGAAAGTTACACAATAAATGAAAATGAACAAATTGATCATACCGCAGAGACGTGGCGCTACGGTTATGGTCCCTTTACTAAATTTTTATCCGCTACGCTAATAATATGTCTGTAAAAAAAAATAACTGCTATAAATAAACTTAACTTCTACTAAAAAGGAAATCAACAATAAAAATCGAAAATCGTAACTCCCGTCAAAAAAAACGATTTCATAAAAATCAGCATAAGCGACATCAAAAAAAAAGTTGACATTTCATGTTACACATGAAACGTGATTGTATCTGTTATAGTAAAATACATGCCACTAAATAAACAATTTCTTGTATTATAAAAAAATAAATAAATCCAAACTTAATGTTAAATTAATTTTTTGATGTGATACATGTTTAACTAGAAAATTCCTAAAGTTGCTAAATTTTGGTCAAACTCCGAATAATTAAGGAATGTCATACTAAAGTCCATTTAAGATTAGTATGGAATTTTGCGTGTAACGAAATAAATATAAAAATTCATTGATATTTTATCTATTCGAATTCTGATACAAATTTATTTATTTATTGATTATTTTAAAAAAATAACTTATACCTTACATACAATTAGTAAACTGAAAATGACTAACGTATGCCCAGAATGCAATCAAGAACGTGATAGTCGGTGGTGCAAACCGTGCTACTCAACACATTTCAAAAATGATTTTGATAAATGGACAAGTGGAAATGAAACAATAGATAAATTTACTCAAGATACTCAACTAAATGCTGTTTATGATAAAGTAATAGAATGGATACCTTATAATAGATTTCAAGATATTAAACAAATAGCAAAAGGTGGTTATGGCACTATTTATTATGCTAAATGGGTTGATGGATTTATTGAAAGTTGGAATATTGGAAATCAACAATGGGAAAGAAGTGGTCAATTTGAAGTGGTATTAAAAAAGTTTAATAATATTGTAGACATAAACGAAGATTTTTTAAATGAGGTGAAAATAATATATAAATTAATATGGAAAAATTTATTTAAATATATAATGTAACTAATTATAATTTAAAATATGTTATTTAGATGGTAATTCTCTTAAGAGCAAATGGTAAAATATCATTGTCTACACTTTATGGAATAACAAAAGATCCAGAAACTCACAAATTTATGATGGTTTTATATTATTGTAAAGGTGGAAGTCTTCGAAATTATTTAAATAATAATTCTAATAATATCGATTGGAGTCGTAAATTATGGTATTTATACGATTTAGCTAATGAATTTTCAAAAATTCATAAAATGGATGTAATTCATCGTGATTTTCATCCCGGAAATATTTTAAAATTTGGTTTGGAATCTGATTCTATGTATATAACAGATTTTGGATTGAGTAAATTAATTACAGAAAACATAAAAAATTCCCAAAAGAATAAAATTTCCGGAGTATTACCATATATAGCTCCTGAAGTATTTAGTGGGGAGGAATATACAAAGGCTGCTGATGTTTATTCATTTGCATTTGTTGCTTATGAAATAATTACTGGAATTCCCCCATATCACAATGTATCGCATGATAATGATTTAGCTTTTAAAATATGTAATGGATTTCGACCAAAAATTCCATTTCATACTCCTAAATTAATTACACAAATAATCATGCGATGTTGGGATGCTCGAATTACACATCGACCCACTTTTAATGAATTAAGAAAAGAGTTAGAAAAATACTGGAGGAATCATAGTAATAAAAATAGCGAAATTGCAATTCAAATTAAAGAAGCTAAAAAATTTTCCAAAAATCAAGCATCAACGACTACAACTCAAACAAATTATAAAACACATCCGCGAGCAATTTATACCAGTAGACTTCTCAATTTTCCAAATCTTCCAAAACCTAAAAATGATAAAAATTTTGAAAAAAAACTTAAAGAATTAACAGAATCATTTTATCAAATAAATGCTGGTATGTATCAATTATATATTATTTTTTTTTATTTTATTCATTTTTTGATTCATAAATATTTATTTTATATTTGATCTATTTTATTTTATTTTTTGATTAGGTGATGATGATGATGATTTGGAATTATAAATTTTATTTAACGTTATATATTTCTTTTATTTTTATTGTACTTATTAATTTAGACATTGTTGCGGTTTATGAATTTTTTTGATCTTCTAATATCTTAACATTAATTATGGAGCATGAAATTATTCATATTACAATTATTGAATTAATGGTTTAATTGAATTTTTAAACAACAAAAAAAAAATAAGCATCAAATGATAATTTACCTTATTTAATAAATGAATAACTTCTAAATTTTCAACGAACTAATAAAAATATTTTCTTTTTGGGAAAAGAATGCACCTTTTCCTATTTTGACTGTATCGGCTCGAAATTAAATTAAATTATTACTCTAAAAAAATCAAATGAATTAATATTTTTCACAAAAAATTTACAATTGCATATTTTCTTTTGATTTATTTTCATTAATATTGATTAAGCTACAAATACAAATTTTTATCATAAAAAAATTTTTATTAAGGCCATCAGGAAATTTTATTACGACAGTTTCGGTATTTATACGAGACCATTTTGAATTTAAACCAGAATATTTCGGCGGATATCGATGCTATAGGGATGAAGTACATATGTATCTTGTAGCTCAGAATCAGGGATTTTTGATCAGTCATAAAGAACACCTTAATTGAAAATCACTCCCTCTCTCACAAATCGTGATCGAAGTCGAAAAAAGGAACTTTTTTGCGTAAAATTTGCGTAAAAATCCCGGAATCTTTTACTGTGAAATTTCTTCGATATTCCTCTGGTTTAAATTCAAAACGGCCCCATATAAATACCGTAGGTGCCGTAATATTTTATATTATGAGAATAATGATAATGTCAGGGCAATTATTATGAATTAATGATATTAATAAAATGCCAGCGTTATGTAAAATAGCCAAGAATCTAATATTTTTAATCATCTTTATAGTGAAATCTCGATGAAAATACTTGCAAACGTTTCCATTTATATTTGATAAAATTTCTTTTTGACTGACAATAGCCCAATATAATGGATCATGATTAAAATAGCCGTTATAGATTTTTCAACCGTTTTAAACTTTCCAAAATTTCTAAAAAATTATTAGAAAACATCCGTCATTTAAAATAATCCAAAAATGAACAACGATTTATTATTAATTTACATATCTCACGAAATAATATTTTCAATTTGAGTATATGAAGCATTGCTAAAGCTAACCGGTGATAATTGTCACCGTCAGGCAAAATTACATAATTCCCTGATCAACCCCAACCCTAACTTTGCCTACGTATATTTAATTTTGCCCAGTGGTGACAATCATTACTGGTGAGCTTTAGTAATTTTCTTATAAATTTATGAGTAAATGACAGATAATCAGGTGATGATGGTAAATCAAATCCATTTTAAAGTTCTAATTCCCAAAGTAGGTATAGCAAATTTACACCAGATTAATAATAATGAATATAAATCTTGAGTTTTTAAAGATTATAAATAATATTCCTGTGGAAATTTTAGTTGCCATTTTTTGTCTAAAAAGATAAGCAAAAACAAGTAAGTGCTTAATATATTTTTTTCTAAATTTACCATATTTGAAATAATTTTATAGAAGGAATTTAAAAAAAAAAAGGATGATTGTCAAAGGGACAAATTTCCAAAATTTGTGATTTTTCTTAAAGTTATTATGTATCACATACATTGTTAGGGGATGGTAAACAAAAAAATTGCGTATAAAATTTGTGCATAAAAAAGTCATTGTCAATAATCGTCCCTAGTTTACACAACAGTGCTTTACTCTGCATAACTATCAATCGAAAGAAAAAATGGCTTCTTTTGGTTGATATTGCTATATTCCGATAATGTGCGTAGGTTTTTGATGTAAATATATAGTTTTCCTCCATTCACTTCTACGATGTCGAATAGAACCTTTATTTCAAAACTACTACTTGCCTTAGTGCCTTTATTCTTCAACGCGACCACACTAAAGCCATCTATCCCATCACGCGAAACTACCACTTCAACCACGACCACTGAATATGTTTACTTTTGGTTGCTATTTTAGTTGAGATCCACGGTTTTCTAATATATGGTTTTTTACAATATTGAGTAATAATACATCGTTTTATTTTTTAAAAAATTATTTCAAAAAAAAAATATACTGCTAGCACAATCAAGCTATTGTCAGTACTAAAATTTACTTATATCTAATTCTTGAAAAGAAAAAGAGCAATTGAGTTTGAAAATTTGGTCAAAAATTCACGGTTTATTTTTGACGGCTCTTTAGTTAATGCAGGTAAAATTAGGCATAAGAAAAAGTTCAGATCTACAGCAAAAAGTCTTCTAAATTAAATATAGAATAAAGGAATAAATATTATAAATATTAAATTTTTGTTATTTTTATTTTCTATTAATTTAAAGATATCATACCGAATTTTCATCAACAGACAGAGGTTTCCTTCAAGAAAAGAAAAAAGAAAATGAATATATGAATATATTATTAAAAGAAAAAGAAGTTCTTGGCTACAAGATGATATGTGTATCATTTCTGTAGCATAGATATTCGTGTTCAAAGTTGAACGTCCGTGAAAAATTTAGCGGAAAATTTCTATTACATAACCAAAATTTCCGACAGAATTACGAAAATTTACGGACTAAATTTTTCACGGACGTTCAACTTTGAACACGAATATCTCAGTGAATATCGATACTACGGGAGTGAAATGTATCATTTTGTAGCCAAGAACCAGAGTTTCGATCTATCATAGAAACATCTTATTAGAGAATCGCTCTCTGTCGTGTAAATCGCGGCCGAAGTCAAAAAAAATGATTTTTTTGGACGTAAAAGTTCCGTAGTTCACATGATTGTTCCGTACTTTACACCTAATTAATTTTTCTGATGGCATTTCACCAATGTGACTTTCTTTGGGAAAATTTTTAAGAGCAATAAGGTACTCTTTTCTTGAAGGTGCAAAAATAATAATGTTGTATAAAGATTCAGATCTAATAGATGTCCTCCCATCTAATACTAAAATAATTAAATTTTATTTAATGGCAAATAATAATTAATTTTATTTTATATTTAATTAATTAATACTTACCTAAGGTGAGATTTCTGCATTTTCCAAATCTTGATCTATACATTTATTTATTCGTGCAACTTCCTCATCTAAAAACCGTTCCGAAGCAGTTTTACGAGAAGGAGGTGCATATCCCGGATTTAACCCTTTTAAAAAAATCTATCAAAAACGGATTTTCTATAATTTCAAAAGGTACACCTGTTATTATCCATACTTTTATTAATGATTTATCTAAACGTGAATTAACTTGTAAAGGAAGTAGCTAATTTGAACCAAAATGTTGAGTGATTGTGGGTTTATTGTGGGGTAAATTAGATTGTTTTGAAGTACGCGTATAATTAATGGCTTGTTCCAACAGCTTATCTCTCCAATATATACTTATATCATCAGGACATGATTTACAAATATTAGCTAAATGTGCTTTCATAACTAACGGCTTTCCACGTGCCCAAGTAGTATCGCAGTGATAACATTTAGCTGGATATTATCCATTAGCTTGGATAAAGTATTCCATAATTAATCAAATTTCGCGCCTACAGTTTTAGTCATTTAAAGATTTAAAAAAAAATTTTTTCGTGATTCATAAAATATTTGTGATCCAAAATATGATTGGCATTATTATGCTGCATTAACTTTCATAATTATCGAAATATTTATTATCGAAATAATTACTATCGAAATAATTATTATTACAATAATAATTATTAATTATTAATATAATAATTTATTATTATAATTATTATCATATTTTTAATAATTATTGATAATTAATTAATAATATTAATTATATTAATGATTATTATCAATAATTAATTATAGTAATAATTATTATAATTTATTATCAATTATCAATAACACCATATACTATATAAAACACTACTATGGTTATGACACCGACTATAGTTACGACACACGACTATAGTTACGACACACGACTATTATCACGACATACGACTATAGTTACCACAGTCACGTCTTACAACTACTACAAACACGTCTTACTACATTGTGACAAATTGACGTGATTCAGGTCTTGGCCATAAGACCGCACCTCCATGGACAACACAGCCAATTAAATTGTCATTCATGGTAAAGGTCTAACAATTCAAAAGAATGTGTAGCTGGAAAAAGCTTATTATGATGCAATAGTGTTGTATTATATTATTGGACAATGGGACTTCAAATATTACCTTTTAATCGAACTTCAGAATTTGATTCTTTCATGGTCGCATTCGCTTCAGAATACATTTTCGGAAATGAAATAATATTTGGTGTTCTTAAGAAGATTCACGTGACGATTAATTGAATTATGAAATTATCCAGTACATTTTGTCCACAATCAAGGAAATAGTAGAAGGTTACTTAAATACATAATAAGCAGCCGGACATCCTGCGGAAATTCTTGATTAGCTGTAAGAGAATCGAAAAATAAATTACTTAAATCAATTAGCATAAGCATATAAGTATTTATAATTAATATATAATGATAAACAAAGAAATTAATTCCTGTTAGAATTAATTTATTATATAATGTTATACAAATAATGTACACCGTATACAATAAACATTTCCATTATTAAATACTAATTATGAACACCAATATTTTGATAGTACAAACTATATGTTACAGTAAACAAGTTTTCATAATCAACAAACGCCGATATAATATTTTAATCAATCAACCATAAAGGATTGTGACCAGATAAAAATGGTTCCTTAAAACAAACTGCACGCAAAAAAATTTTTTTATCAATCATTATATAATTCATGAATCCGATTATTTTAAGAATTAAAGATGTATGATTTATTTAAATTTATTTTTTACATTACTTTTTTAATTAATTCGATTTTATGCTACATTCCACCTCAAAGAATATATCATAATAGTGTAATAATAAATGATCGACTCTTAATAATTGCCGGAATTAAAAAAAATTCCACTCAATCGGCTGAATTATGTTATTTAGATTTATTAAAGTCATTTGATACTTCAAATGTATTATGGAATTTAATTTACGAAGGAGATCTTCCTATATATACGTACGGTGCAACTGCTATCGTTAGTTTAGATAATTCTACAATATTTCTAATTGGAGGATATATAAAAAATAAAGATACAACCAATACAACCGCTTTTGATTTTTCAAAACAAGTTTATACATATGATTACCCTACTTCTAAATGGACTGCACCATCAATTACTGGCGATAGTATTCCTGTCAGACAGCAAATGACAGGAGTAATTAACCCTAAAGGAATTATATACATATTTGGTGGATTTAATATCACTAATTTAACTTCACAAGCTGGAAGGACTTATGATGAAATGAATATATTGAATACTTCTTCAATGAATTGGAAAAACATAAGCGTAGTAATTAATCGTCCTTTACCAGGCAGTGACTATTCAGCTTGTATTTTACCAAATGGAATTATAGTTTACATTGGTGGGCAAGAAGAAATTTCTCTTGATCTACCTTCCAATCTTGTAAAAATGAAAAATGTAAGTAATTTAAATATAAACTGATGAATTGTTTAAATTATATTCATAAATATTAATATTAATATTATTGTCAAATAGCTTAAACTCTTTGATACAACAATAGATGAATGGTCATCTATGGTATTTATTTGATATTAGTTTATATAAAATAAATATAATATAATAACTTATTTATAATATTTAATTCTAAGGACGCCGTTGGTGCAGATGTTGACCCAAGATGGATTTTTTCTTCGGTATTAAGTAAATATTTAAATCATTTTTTATTTCTGAAACTTAAAAAAAATTATATTATTTAAAGTAAAAATTTTCATATAGCGCCAGATGGACGTATTATTATATTTGGGGGTTGTACATTCAATAATACTGGCGTTAGCCCAAAACTTGCCGTATTAGATACAAACAAAAATCCATATGAATGGTCGATTCCAAGTAGTTCCAACGTTAATTCTCCACCATCTATTTATGGACATACAGCAAATTTATATTATAATTATATGATAATTACATTTGGTAAGTAAATATGTAATAATTTCATTTTCTATTATAATAATGACATTTATCAATTTTTTTTTTTTTAGGATACGACATAGATAACGAAACGTATAATTCGCAAGTATATCTTTATGATATAAAGAATAATGCGTGGGTTACACGTTTTGAAGTTCCCCCCACCACAACTCCCACAAATACCATAACTCCCTCAACTCCCTCAACTCCCTCAACTCGCTCAACTCCCTCTCCTCCTCGAAACCTGTTACTGATTGGGCTTGCGACGGGAACAGGCGTAGTCGTTTTGATCTGCATTTCGATTTTTGTTGTTTATAAAAGAAAAAATAGAAATACTATTATTAAAATAGCTGGCACTAACAGTGAATAGATGTTTGAGTTTTGAAATTATAATAAAAATTTACACTTGCAAATTCCGGATAATGATAATTTCAACAACAATAATTCAAATTTTTTATGTTTATTTTTAAAAAAATTCGCATGATATATTTCCAAGAATATAATTATAATGAGACTTGAACATATGTATACTGTTATTTGATATATGTTACTGTAAACAAAAAATTTAATAATCATTAATGGTTTATTTACATTATCAGTTATTATCAAATTATCTAGAAATAATATCAAACAAAAAAAAAACTTTATTATTAGTTAAAGAGGAAGTGACCTAGTAAAGAGAGTGAAAATGCAAACATTTTTACTTAAAAACTTTGTTATTTATATCGAAAAAAAATACAAATATATAAGTGAATACAAGTTTAATAATAAAAATAAATATTTCTAATTATTTAAAATTTTTTAACAATTTTAAATACTTCATAATTAACGATAGAAAAGCAATCCGATGTCGTTCTTATAGGTTTTTCGTAATAAGCATCATTAATATCACAGTAATTTTTATTATCTAAAGTAAAATCAGATTTTTCACTATATAAGACAAAATCTCCAAAACGTGGACCAACCCTATTTTGACGATTTTTGGCTGTATTACAAATTGCATAATAGGCATTTTTTACTCTGCTAAGAATAGAATTTCGAATATTTCCATTTTTTAATGAGAAAATGAAACTATCTTTTGTTTTCATCCATTCACCCCATGAAATATTATCCCAAGCTAAAGGATTATAACCTCCAAGTATTTCATCAGTCCCTTTAACTTTTGCTACCACAACCGTTTTAGCATGATCATGGCAAATATTCCAAAATGTTTGTGGAGCAAAACCATCTCTAGTTCCACTTAAAATTAATTCAAAATTATATGGAATAATTGTAGTAGAATAAGTAGTTGTTTTGCGATCAATCCAACTAGAAATTTCTGCTGCATGTTCTTCAGAAATGATTGTTGAAAAATGTTCTTTTGGTGTTTCTATACGAGGAGGTAATTCTGTAACCACGAAGGATCTTGCTGGTAAAATAATTGATTTAACTGACCGGTCGGGAAATACCAGATGCTGGTTGATATCTAACCAAAGTTGTTCATCAATAAGTTTTTTGTAAGGCTTAATTTTATCAAAAAGTTCAGTATTTGATATATGAAAGTAACGAATAAGTGGTAAGCATTGTTGTAAAATAGTTTTTAAAGTAAGAAAATCTTCCTTGGTCCATTCTTCAAGGATTGTAGGGAAAGTAAAATTTTGAGAGATTCCCCATTTGATAACATAATCCCAAATTTTAATTTCTTCCATTTGCAAATCATCCCGCTTGAGAAGAGATACTAATGCGGATTCAGGAAGAGAATCAAAATCTGAACTATCAAAAATAATATTTGGATGTTTTGCAATAATATCATTACAATAATTTTCTAAATTTTTAAAGTTATTTTCGTTAAAAATAATACGATAAACAAAAGCAAAGTAGGTTTTTAACCAAGAAGCTTTAGTTTCAATTAGATGAGTTTCTAATTTTTCGGTTAATTCATTAAGTTCGAATTCATTAGTAACTAACATTAAATCAAAAATGAATCTGGTTTTTACGTTCTCCAAATCAACAATTCCTCCATAAATGTATCTATGAAAAAAAATAAATAATAATTAATAAAATATAAATTGATTATAATAAAAATATAAAAGATAGTATTTTATCATTGTTAATTTATAACTTACTTGAGAATAACATCGAAAATTTGAGCAGATACACTTGACTTAATAATAATAGTCTTAACATTATTTTCATTAGGTAGAATATTTTCTAACTTTTTACGGAAATATGATGATCGATATTTTAATATGTTTGAATGCGCCGTAAATAATTTTTCCTCGTTTTCAATTCCAATGATTACATTGTAATCATCTTTATCATTCAATAGTTCAACAAAGTTTTGTGATAACTTGTCAAAAAATTTTAAAGACATTTTTTTTTCTTTTTTTTTAATAAATTTATTGAGCCGGAAATAAAGAAAGGGCGGTAACAAAATGTATTTGTGTGATTGTTTGTACGACAAATAAAAATACTTTCCATCTAATTTTTATGAAATTTATCATGTGATTTATCAAAATTTTAGAAAAGATAGTACGATCAGCTGAACTGTATTGTACGAATGTATCTATTTTTGTGCTTGTTCGATATTTAATCACGAGACAATGGTAATTTTAACAAACACAATGCAAATCGGTCAAAAAATTTTTTTGACTTACAAATTAAGATGATTTTTCTACTTTTGAAATATGTAGTAGAAATTTAAGTACATTTTAAAAAATTTTAACAATATGCTTCAATAAATTATGTCACAACGGGTTCAAATAGTGACTACTCTTAACATTACACAATTACTATTAAAAGAAAATGCAACAAGATATAAAATAAAAATAAGTTCGGTTATTTCAATTAATTTCATTAAATGCATATACAAAGGGAAACTCAATAAATCGGCCAATGTTGGTCAGCTATCCTATTATTATACTAATCTAAATAAGTCAGTTTTCGTGATAACTAAGCCAAATGGCCCAGCTTCCAGTGGTCAAATTATTAGGTTTGCCTATGCAAATATTTAGTATTTCTAAATTATAGAATATATAATGACAAACTAAAAATTCAAGATAATAAAACGCCAGTCAAAATTTGATAAATTATATAACAAAAAAGATTGATGTAATTAATAAATTGATAATATTGTACAAATAATGTACACTAAATATGCATTCAGATAAAGTTCATACGTCAATAAAATAAACAGTAGCGAAATACAATATGCATTTATAAGGTCTGTATTGCAATTTTTATTTTTCATAAAAAA